GTGACTGCATACACATATGGATATGATCCATCCAGGTGTGCAAAATGCTAGGTGATAGGTAAAAATACTCTCACTCCCCAAATTTGTTTTCAACCTCAATCAACTGTATACCTTCTATGACTCACGCTGCCCAAAATACACCCCAATTTATGGGGTTTGGTTTTTGGCGGTTTGGGGGTGGTTTTTTTTTTTTTGTAGGATCTTAGAGATGCATAGCTCTGCAGAAGAGTTCTTGCTCATAAGGTATTTTTCTCACTAAACGTATCTGAAGCCAATATTGTCAAAAAAGAAGGGCAGAGTGGGGGAAGGCAAGAGACAGAGAGAGAAAGTCCGATTAGTATGTCCCAGCACACAGCTGAAGAATGAACTAACTACTAAATATTTCTTCTAATTTCCAGAAAGATTAGGTCTTACTGGAAAAATCTCACAAATGGGCAAAGCATTACCACCAAATCAGAATTCTCCTCTATCATTCACAATGAGCACAGGAGGTTGTGAAGAAAGCGGTGAAACACAGAAAGTGCTGTTGATTGACTTAAAAAACCCTCTCATGATTGTGACACCAATAGCACTTTATAAGCTTTATCATAGTAATCATTTTTAAAGAGTGTATTGAACAGCATGGGGCAAAAGAAGGATGGGAAAGGACAGTCCAGTTAGGAGACATGTGCTTATTCATCTCTTAGACCCACAGATACTAGGCTAGCAAGATATGCGACAACACTGAACGTAACCTGAAAAAGACAGATTTTAAAGAGTGTTAAACTGAAAAGATGAAACCAAAAGCAAACCAAACCAAAACCAGAGCAATTGCGCAGGATGGAGATGTTCTCAGCATACAGAGAAATCTAAGCTACTGATCTCAAAAAAATTTGTGAAACATTTTTATAATCAAGCAATACAGGCAGTTCCTTCCAAGAATGGGGAAGACAGTCTAAGTTCTCAGTAACTATGGTATTGGCAGGTTCAAGTCACACCAAACCAACTGATGCTAAAACAAACAAAAAATCCAAACCAAAAAAAATCACATAAAAACCAAAACAAGACATTCCCAAATACCCCAGTTTTCCATTTTCCCCTCAGTGCACTTATATTAAACATCTCACAAATCAAAGAAAGTTAGCAGAATAATGCTCTTCATCTAGTAGAGAATGTTGCTTCATTTTTTTTTCAACAGTACATGAAGATGTCCAAGATTTAAAAGCATTACTTTTCTAACTGCATAGTGCCTAAAGAGCAGAGAAATAAGAAAACTCACTTTCTAGAGTAATTTCTACGCTGCAATGCTAACAACCAAATATTTTAGCAGTGCAGTTAAGAGAAAATTTGGGAAAAGTATCAGACTATAAACAATGCCAAATGCCATTGAAAACACTTGTGACACCACTTTGTTATTTGTATTAAGTGTATATTCATTCTGTAACATAATTACCATCTGGAGAATTCAGAGACTTACATTTACATAATTTCGTCATCTTTCATGGGCCTACTTAAAGGAACTACCAGACAAAAATATGAAGAGAATGCCTCTTCTATTTCTAATCATCCTCCAAAAAATTAACAAGTTATGCATTGTAAGGCAGTTAAATAAACAAATTAGAATGAGTGCATAATACTGAGCCCCTTCTATAAAAGTGATTCAACTAAACACAAATACGGGTTAAATACTTTCAATACTGTACATACTAAGCATTCCTTCCTACATCACAGAAGCACACATATAGACTAATTCTTGTATTGAATGGCTTTTACACAGATGAAAACACCAGTACAACAACAGGACAAAACATGAGCTTTGAAAAAGGAAAACAAAGACAAAACTAACACTGACAAAGAAAGGCATAAGATGAAAAATACCAGGTTAGATCTTGCAGTGTAGTATATTTCTTCTGAATTGTCCAAAAAATCGCTACTGTCAGGCTGTTCATTAGATAGAGACCAAGAAACTCAAGTTACTTACATTGCGACTGAAAGCCAGATACACATAAAGGGAAATTTTCTTGCTAAAAAAAGTTGTTAGTTGAAACTCAAACCATGTTAAGACAGTTCCGGGGATAGGGCTAAAACACAGCTAAGGCTATGGTCACATTACCAAACACTACCAAATCACACCAAAATAATGAACTTTTGTTCATCACCTGAGCTGTGGTGATGAGCGACAAACTGCCTCAGTAAGAGGTAAGTATGTACCAGCTCAATCTCTCAGTGCACCACTGACAATAACTCGTCATGCTGCAGTGGTCCAGTCCTTTGGCTTGTGCACTCATACCCGTAAGTAAATAAGCACAAAATTTAAGCATGCTTTAGTGAGACAGAAGCAAAAGGATCAGAAGAACTGCTTTAATGCATTGTTACCGCTAGAGGAAGAGACAGGCATCTCTTGCTCCCGTTTACATTTAAAAGACTTTCTCTCCCATAGCGTGTAGATTGTTACAAACTTCTCCCTCATCCTGCTTTGTGCTAAGGCTCTTTGCTAAAGCATCCATTCTTTGAATAGATCTCATTTGCTTTTGACATGCCAATTCAAATTGTCCACTGATTCTATATCTAATGACAAAATATGTTTTTTCTTTGGTCTTGTCCTGGGTTCAGCTGGGATAGAGTTAATTTTTTTTTTTACAGGAACCTGGGAGGTGGGGGGCATAGCCGGGGCAGCTGACCTGAACTGGCCAAGGAGCTATTCCATACCATGTGACATCATGCTCAGTATATAAAGGGGGAGCGGGCCGGGGGGTGTGCTCTTCTTGTCGGTGGGGGAAGTGGCAGAGCGTCAGGTCCCGGGTGGTGAGCAGTTGCACTGTGCATCGCTCTTTTTGTATACTCTTTCATTAGTACCGTTGTTGTTGTTGCAATTTCTTTGTGTTGTTCCAGTAAACTGCCTTTATCTCAACCCTCGAGGTTCCAGGTTTGGTTTTTTTTTTTTTTTTTCCTCTCCTCCGTCTTCCCCCCTATCCCACCGGAGGGGGGCGGGAGGAGTGAGCGAGCGGCCGCGTGGTCCTTTGTTACCGGCTGGGCTGAAACCACGACAGGTCTCTAGACCCAACATAATAATTTTCAAAATCACAACTCTGTTTTATCCGAAAAGGATGTATGAGGTCTGCACGCTTCATTCTGATATGGGCAGTGGAGCAGTTAATTTCCCTCTTCAGAAAGATCCAAACAAGCAGTTATAGATATTCCTTACAGACAGAGAGATGAGGCAAGTTCTTTGGACAGGTTTCAAATATGCAAACTCTGACAGGAATAGAAAATACTAAGAGATTTCCTTATCAGCAGAATTGATCTGGATCATTCAAGTCCCTTCCGGAGCAGCAAGAGCTTCTGAGACGCCAAAGTGCAAAGGTCCTGATTGCTATCGCACAAGGTATGAAAAGGCTCCATTCCTCCCTTCCAACAACATCGGCCAAAGAAGTGCTCTCAAGAGTTGTGCTTTAATCCCTGCAGAAGATCTCTCTCCCCAGATTAGCAACTCGGTTTCCTAAGGTGCAGTGAAAACACCTCTCTGCCCCGTGAAGTTGTCCACTAACTGGTTTGTACAGTCAGTGACTGATAAACCAAGAAAGAAGTGGAAAAAGTATTTTTAAAACTTCAGCTTCTCCATTAACATCTTTCTGCAATTACGATTCTGTGTGTGTATAAATAAATAAAATTCTTAAGGAGCAAAAGCATTATATTTTCTTTATAATCCAGACCATGCAACAGGGAAGCAAAGCCAGGGTAACTTGGAATCAGTTAAAAAATCATTTTAACTAATGAGTTTATGGTAGAAACATTGACTTCATTACCATATTTATAAACACTTGTATGACTAGGGCTCCTCAATGATGTTGTTATGCAGTTATGTCAAGGTCTAAATAACATATCTGGAACAATTGCCTAAGTCCTGCATGTGATTTGGTAAGCTATTCTCCTCCATCTCAAACAGCCACCAGAACCTGCAGACTACCTGTCCAGCCAGTTGGTGAGAAAGAGCAAGATTATATATAACCTCATACACCCAGAGCCAGCTGACCCACTACCAAAAGACAAGGCACCAGGAAGGAGATTTTGGTACAACTACAGAGTAATACAGGGAAATCTACACCAGAAATCCCACTCACATGTGGTTTGTAGACTATAGAAGAGGAAGTACATTCCTAGGTAGACACCCTCCCGAAAACCAACTCAGACCAAAGCCAATGGCCCTCCCATGTATGTACTCAGCCAACTTCTCCACCTTAACACCTGCCTTAGAAAAACAAAGGGAACACAGAAGTCTGCAGTAAGGAAGAAAAGGAATGTCTTTTTTATCAAGGAATGTGAAGAAACTGCTCAAGTGCACAAATGTGGAAAGCAACAGTCTCCATAGAAGAGAGGAAGCTACTGCAATTGTGTGTGAGACAGCACAGACACCTTTTCCCTCACTGCTTGAGTTCTCATACCCCTTGTACTGATGGATCCATATGAAGAAAACATTGGCAATACACCTTTACACAATACATCAACTGCCAGACTCAGCGTGGCTCAGGTGTGATGCAGGGCCACAGAAAGATTGTTTCTGTGGGAAAACAACCACCCCACAAAAATCCAATTTTTTAAAATGCATCATACCTCTTTCCCAGGCTCTCAATTTTATTATTTCCATTATCAATCATCATCAATACAAGCACAGGGGAAACATTTGAGTAAGCACAACAACTCCACAATTAAAAAACCAGCTCAACAAATAAAGGGAATGATATATTTGGCAATGAGGTAGAAAGGATAGAGGAAACTCACAAGACAAAGGGCTGTTGCTTAGCTCATACATCACACCTGGCAGAGCCCACAAATAAGGGGTCTTGCTGCATAGTGTAACGGCATCAAAAAATTTAGGACCAATATGTTATGACTTGTCAGAAAAATCACTACCAAGTTTAGTAGAGCTAAGGAAGCATGCTACGCATCTTGGATCTCTCCTCATCCACAGGTATTTGCGGGGAATAATGTGCAAAGCATAGCCCATGCTGCTTGTTACTCACGAATTCATGATGTGGCTCTGTCTCTTTCCTCAAGGGTGGATCAAATTTTACTTGACCAACTAAAGAGGAGACAAGGAAAACAAGAATTTAAGCTGGGCTGTAACTAGACAAAATTCGGCTCTAAAGGCCAACAAAAAAAGAAAAATCCAGTTTAATGAGTCAATCATATCCCCACCAATAGAAACTTCTGACACATGGACATACTGAACTTGTGCTGGCTAGAAACTAATTGGCACAGAAAGTACTCTTCTATCACAAAGGCAGCACAATCACCATTTGCCCCACCTGCTCATTAGAAAGATCAGGAAAACCATTCAGCAAATAGGGCAGTGAAGTGCCCTCTTTAGAGAAGCAATACAGCTGTAATTTGTAGAAAAAACATATCCATTGTGTCAATTCACTTTTGGATCTGTTCTTCTGGGAGATTCACTAGCACTAAAGAGCCTTGAATGAAATTTGGAGAGAGCTAATCACATCTTCTAGGACAGCTCTTTGGCAGATACTCTTTAACACTCCTTCCCTCAATTTTAGCTTAAGAAAAGACAACTAAAGCTCCAAGTATCGCCTTGATTCAATTCAAGCAAAAGAATGACTACAATTTGGGGGATAGAGTCTGCTCTTAAATGGCCAGTGATCAACCTCCTTCTTTCTCAATTTCTGCATGAATGTTTCAACTGAAACGGAAAACCTACAACAAGATACTAAATTAAGGAAGAAAAACATTCCTCTGTCATTGGAACCTATACCTGTAAGTAAAACAGCATAAGTTTTTATTTTCCTATATATCACTAAAAATGTTTCTATATAGGTCAGATACCCAGAATACAAGTTGAAATAAGTTAACATCAATGATTATTTTAAGAATATTTCACGTTGTCACTTTACACATGCTTACAGTTTATTTCAGAGCGTGTCTTTTCTTCTCTCACGTTTCTACTTGTCGAATGAATTCTATGAGGCACTACAAGAGGCTAGAAGAGAGAGAAAGATAAAATACTTCAATACCAAAATATACTCACTTGAAGCCAGTATTGCATACCTAGTTTTTAGCAGGTTTCTTTAGCATAATATCAAAAAAGAAAGAAAGAAATCAAGTGGAAGCTAAAAATAAAGATTGCCATGTATGGTTTTCTATATTAAAGTTAGAACTATCTGGAGACATTTTAGCTGTAGAGTGTCTTCAACTTCAAGATAAGGGTTTTTAAAACACTGGATTTGAGCAAATTAAGACAATGCTGGCCAGTGTTTATCTTTGCCGAGATAACATTTCCTTTTTGCACATTTCAGTTTAAGGGTATTGGTAGTTTCCAAAATAAGCAGTAAGACTAATTCTGACTTACTGGCAGCATTTCTTTTCTTTAGTTACCCCAATCATTTTCCCAGCTTCTAACCAAACCTGATTCCTAGAAAGTCATCAATTAGTTTCTTTAAGTAGATGAGAAGTTCACCTGAGGTTTTCAGAGCTGAATAGAAAGGAGTATTCCTAGTACTCACGGTGTGTGGCAAGAGTGATGCCATCATTTCTACAAATTCACCTTCATATTTATGTTCCACTTCTGTTTTTTCCCTGGATTTCCATTTACTTCTCTACAGGATGATGCGTCATGAACTTTAAGACTTGGCTTTCTTTTCTTTGCCTCTGTTGGATTTTCTCTGTTCCTTCTACATCTGCTACTGCAGGTTCTCTTAGAAACCATAACTTAAGGTTTCTTAACAAGAGTAAAACACCAGCTAACTGCTATATACAATCAGGCCCCCAAATTAGCAACATAAATACTAACAGTGTGCTCTCAGCATGTCTTCTGCAATGAAATCTTACTCTTCAGGGAAAAAAGTTCATTCTCCATGATATAAGCCCAAGCAATCTCTGAAAAGAGCATGTTTGCTACATTTCTGTGTTGAATACGTGGAAGCAAAACAATTTTTAATTAAAGCAATCTGACACCATAGTGTCAGAAATTTGATGTGCTGGCATGTTAGCTTTGCTTTTATATATGCTAATTATAATCTACACTCGGCAACTTTTGACTACGAAGTGATGACAGTTAAGAGAACTTCAACTGCTGTACACTCACAAAGAGTCACGAATAGCTCAGCAACTGCTTATCCCTGAAATATTATCTGAAAGCATTACTTCCCTTCTCCCCTTTTCATTGCACACTACTTCCTTGCTTTATATTAGGATCCAACACATACGTACATAGTGTTTCATCTCCCATTTATGCTCACTTTGGTCTTTTTTGAAACTGGAGAGACTTACAGACTGTGTGTATGTATTTTCTCCCACGTATCTCACAGGCAGTTTTTCATTTCTTGTAACTTATGCCAATTCTCCCCTTCCTTAGTTCTAGTTTGTCTATTGTGCATTCTTTTGAACTTCAAAAATGCTTTGCTATAGCTCAGGATGTATTTCAAGGTTTGATCTGGTTTTCTACTTCAGTTCTTTCAAATGCTCTAAGCACAAAAAGGTTGCTTATTTATAATCTTTTGTTAAGAGGCATTGCCCACTTGCACATGATGCGTGCGCATCTGTAATGCCAGCACGAGAATCCCGACTGTAGCGGGGGTGGGAGTTATTTTTGCCTTTGCAGCGATATTGTGCAAGTTCCTTGCATCCTGCCACAGATGTTTGTCCTACACAACAGGCAGAGCCTGCCCTTACACCTTCTTCTTCCATGACCAGAGAATTACTGGAAGGAGTCAAATCCTCATCGCTTGGTCATGAGGACAAAGTCTTCAAGTCACCCTGAAAGACCTACGCTGACAACAAACCGATACAAACAGCTGACATCCAAGCTGTGCAAGAGGACAAAGTAATGTAGGTAAACTTCCCAACACAAAGGCCATTTGGGCCCAATTTTAATCACGGTACAGATCTCAAGAGCAATCTTATCCCCAAAACTTAGTGTGCTAAGGATAAAACATGAGCACTTTCCTCTTTACAACCTTTTCAGCTAATATCACATCCATCATGGGAGTCACTGTCACAGAAACGTGGTGAATAGGCAGTTGCCAGCATCTCCAAAGGTTTATTCTTAAGGGAGTGATAGCAGAGTCCCAAATGGAAATCCTGTCTTTGACTGAATGGGAAACCAAATGAGGTCCTCCATGAGTTGGGGTAGAGAAAAATACTCAAAATGTCAGTTACAGATATTGCTGCCAAATGAATAATGACTATATCACAGGGAGACCTTTCTGATTATACCCAAATAACCTGTTTGTGTGTTTTTAAGTTTAGCTTTTACACATTAAACATTTCACCTTTGTCTGAGTTTAGAATGATTTAAAGATGTAGTACAGCAGTCCTCAAAGTGGCAGCAAATTCACATCTTAATCTCTACCTCACCCACACAACTCTGCAGACTATCCAAGCAGTAACAGATAGCATCCCCACAAAAGCAGCACAGGCCAGGTGAAGAGTTGTCATCACAGCAGACAATAGGCTTGCCTTCAAAGACCACTGATAGCCAGAAAAGCTCTCTAACCTCAAATAAGAAAACACCAAAAAACCCCAAAACACAAACACCACCCCCATCTCTCCCTCTCCAAGAACCAAAACTCCAAACAAACTGGGGAGCAGGTCTGAAGCTCAAGATTCTCACCAGTGTTGTTTGTACTGCGTTACCTTGTACAAGGTAATGTTGCTTCTGTCATTTTTTGATGGATGCATTCAGCTGACTGCCACAAGTATAGGAGTGGTCAATCCCCAAGTTTGGATTAACATCTCCAGCTGCCTCTGTGAGCAGGCAGGTATTGGAGAAAGTTCAACCGTGTATAATAGGAGCATGTACCCTCCTTATTCCCTTCGGTTTATTATAGGAAAGACCACAATGCCAACAACTGCTTTGCCTGTGGCAGGATTCTTTATGAGAAATACAGACCTTGCTCAAGATGCATCAGATAATTCATTATCACCAGCTTTATTCACAGAGGTGAGTTCTAGACTTGCTTATTACAAAATAAAATGTTTTCCCAAGTGTCACTATCAATCTCATCTTACAGGTTGATTAAATGCCTCAATGGAAAATTATCTGGCAACATGGTTAGGGGAGAAATGAGAAGAGACATCTAAGTTGTCTACCCAATGAAAATGATCCAGCACCATAGGTAACTGTGTTTGAAGCTCACTGGAGAGCTCAAGGCCATATGATGAACAACGACAGAGAAGTATCATTATGCCTAGCACAGAAGTCCACGAATGCAGCAGGAAACCCTCAGCAACATAAGGCAAAAAACGAATGAACTAACATCTGAAAAAATGCCTATCAAAAGTCATGCAAGCAGCTTGCTTGTCCTCCATACTGTCAGCCAGACTAGCTCCTTTACAAATGATGAAAATACACATTTTCTCTGATCACTGCTGTGAGGTTGGTTTCTCTTCATTTTGTCCCCAGACAAGGCATAGCTTTTTCCTCTGATACCACACTTCATGATGGGATGACTGATAAGTAATACACTAGGCAACAGAAGAGCCTTCTTAATTCTAAGTCAGAAGGGACATAAAAGAGCAAACACTATTTTGAAAGCTACAAGTAACTGTCAATAAAATGTGTACTGAAGTGACTCCATAGAGGAAGAGAAGAGAGATTCTCCACCTGAGTGGCCCAAAACGAATGTCAAAATTCTTTCTGAAAAGATACACCAGTGACACAGGGGAACAGCACATCAGGGTTTCAGTACAATTTCCAGGAAAGCAGGGAAGACTCAGGGCAAGCTACTCTGATCTCAGCAGCTCACTCACAGGAAGCACACTAAAACAAGCTACCTTTCTTCTTCTGACAGCTCGTGAAAGCTTTGCTTTTTCTGGTTTCTACAGAAATATCACTTTAACAGGCCTCAGAGCTCTCTATTGCCACTGAACAGACAGAGAACTAAAGGACGCCTGATAGTTAAGAGCTTATGGGGAGACGATCAGAGTTCCTCAGTGCTGTCTCCATCAGGAATCAGACTTCTTTCTCTTAACACTGACATGAAAGTCAACCACAGTAAGGGTTTTCTTGCCTGTTTAACTCTCCTAAACATTTTTTTAACAGAAAAATTTACTAAGTGTGCTCCACTATTGGCAATTGTTTTTAAAAGTACTGACTATTCAATCCTTATGCCTTCTTCTCCTTCCCTCCCATTTAGGAAATACATAAACTTTGCACTCTACCATACCAAAAAAAGACCTATTTCACTTTGGCTTCTTTCCACATTTATTTATTTCAGCTTCTAAGGAAGATAAATCTGGTGCATGTCAACTTGTCTTTGCTGTTCCAGAAGGTAAAAGCTCATTTAACTTGTAAAATCTGAAAACTAGTATCTTAAAGTAGTTGCTTCTTTTCAATTGTTTTCCTTTGAAGGCATTTTTAGACTAGTTTATCCATTTAAAAAACAAAACAAAACACAAGTATGCAATTAATGAATCAATGGCATTTCTGTCAAAAGGATTAATTTTTTTCCTCCGAAAGAGATCATCAGTTAGGGAACTGTAAACAGTTGGGAAGTCTTCACTAACATACAGTTAAGTACAAAGACAGGGGGCAGTAACAGAATATCTGTTTTCTCTTATTTATGAAAACCTTCAGTCCTGCACTATTTATCATCTAACATAAGCATGCTATTTTTTCCCAGCTATTAAAGCAGAAAATCAGAAACTTTGCCTTTGACAAAACCTTAAGTGAAAGCAAGTTTCAGAGTATTCTAAGATAGAAAATATAATCTGCAAGAAACACATAGCAAACCATTTGAAAAAAAACAACTACAGCATCATTCTCTTCTCATAAGAAAGTAAATTAGAAACAAAAGAACAAGTCTACAGAGGTATAAAGTGATTCTTATGAATGCTTTCTTTGCAGATGAATGGAAACATAATTCCAGAAAGAAACAGAAAGAAGAATGCATGACAGAACTCACAACTGGAGAAGTAGTCCACATTTACTGTTGCAAAATTGTTGAAGGGCAAAAATAAACAAAATTTTAAAGTGTTTACATCTCTTTCTCTTTGAGCTTCTTTCCTCCAAATATAATGAATTTTGCTAAGTGCCTGTACACGTGACAGAGCAGCACAACCAAAAGTAAAAGCAACCCTTGAGACTATTCCCAGATCACAAAACATTCTGTGGCTCAGTAAATCATAATAATTTAGTTTTGTTGGCAAATGAAAACTTAACCTGATTCTGTGATTAAAGCATATTCCTACCTCAGGATCATCATCATCAAAATCATGGTAAGCGGAATGATCGGGATTATTCATTTTATCCAAAAGTTCAATAGCAAGACTTCGATTTAATGGTTGGGTAACAAAAGGATGCTGAAAGACAGAAGGAAAAACACATATTAAAATTCCAACCACTCATATTAAGCATATTCTAATAACTTAAAAAAAATCCCATACATGAATTTATACCTGTAGTAGCTTTTCAGCTGTAGGTCTTTTTTTAGGATTTTTTGTAAGTGCCATTTTCACAAAATGATGGAAACTATTGGACCTGTAAAACGAAGTGGTAAACTTTACAATCAATTGCCCGGTGAAATACATGATCATTATCTACTGAAACAGAAAAGTACTTACCATTTCATTTTGTCCTTTAACTTAGGAGGCTGGAAGTTGCTTTTTGTCATTAGAAAAAGCGCCCTGAAAAAAACCAACAGTATTTCTGTGGCTTACATTGCAAAACATACACAAGATGAATTATTAAATACATTATTTAGTTGGCAGGAAGAAGTCCATCGGTTTAAGAGATGCTACCTCAACAACATTACACATTTATGCACCAAAAAGAGTTGCTACAATTTCTATCATGTACATTCAGAACTCACAACCCAGTACCTTTGCAGCATCCCCAAAGACCACATAGCACACATAGCCACCACTCCAAATAGATTATTTTCAAAGCTGTATTTACACACGAGGCTTTAACTCCTTACTAACCTCATTGGATGTAGGTCAAACATCGGAGGCTGAAGTTCAGCAAGCTCTATAGCAGTTATTCCAACTGCCCACAGATCACAGAGTTGGTTATAGCCACCTTTTCTTTCTACTGCAGCAACTTCTGGTGCCATCCTAAAGAGTAAAAGACATTTTTAGATAAACTTCTCACCACAAATCAAACGTTCTTCTGTATGCAGCAGTTTACTACTCTTTTCCTTAAAGCTCTCAATCTGTAAGCTAACAGCATATACATTTATATGCATGGATATATATATATGTATGTGTAAAAAGTTATGTAATGCATACATGAAGTTTTCCTCAATCATCTTCTAGTAACTAACAGGCAGTTTCCAAAACAGCTATTTAGCAATAACTGGACAAAACCGATCTCTCAGACTTTTTTTGCAGGCACACAGCAAACTACCACTCAACAACCAAAGAGCCTAAGGTATAATTATTCAATTACAGTAAAATCCAAATAATATCCAAATTTACACATTGCCCCAGAAAGTGATCAACTGACATTGAAGAGAAGAATCCTAACAAAACAAACAAACAAAAAAAAGTAACAAAATGACAGCAAAATGGCCTCAAGTTGTGCCAGGGGAAGTTTAGACTGGATATTAGGAAAAATTGCTTTACTGAAAGGGTTGTCAGGCATTGGAACAGTCTGCCCAGGGAAGTGCTTGAGTCACCATCCCTGGAGGTATTCAAAAAGCCTGTGACAAGGCACTTCAGGACATGGTTTAGTGGGCAAGGCTGATGGTTGGACTCTATGACCTTAAAGGTCTTTTCGAACCTAAATGATTCTATGATTGTATCCTAAAAACATGAGACCAGAAGACTCATTGTCACCTCTGCACAGAACACTCCTTGTTTGTAGTCTGCCCTACTACAATGTCAGAAGGCCTCATGTAAGTTAAAGTAGTTTCACATCCTCAGGTGGCAAAAATTAACAAACATAACTGACACATAAATGGGAATACCTAAAGAAAATGATTTACTAGGCATTGTCAGGTTTTGAATGGCCAAAGTGAATTATGGATTTGATTGTCCTACATAGTCATATCAGATGGCAAAGTTAAATTTTTTTTTTTTTTTTTTTTTAGCTTTTAATTTTATTAGTCCAGATCACCCGAAAATTAGCAGTGGAACTGGAGATGTAACTCAATATAGGTAAGACAGATTAATGTCACTTAATAAGTGCTCCAGTAAAGCAGCAGGCAGCATCTCAAATGATGCATTTTTTTAAACACGGACATCCTTATCTGTAGATCTGAATATATCACCAGGTTTGGTGATACAACTTATTCCAAGCCTCCATAGCTAAACTATATTTACATAAATTTCTTTGAGAGTTCATAAAAAAACCCCAATCACTCTAAATCAAAAAGGAGGGAGTTACATGGGTTAACTTTAGAACGACATGGAGGAGGAGCTCAAGGGTAGACAGCAGGGTTACTAGAACTAAAGACACTGCACAGCAGTTCTGCCCTTCATTTCTCTCTCCCATCCAAGCACCATAGCCTTACCTGCCCAGACACCTCTAATGATCACTAAAACTTTCACACGGCCTGTTTCCAACTAAATTTTTTTCTCTACAATCTCAACAATTTTGCTTCCTTGCTTCTCCTCTCGAAGCTCTGCAAAGAAAACCTGATGCTTTTCATCAGCATTTAACCTATGCAATGCTTTCAAAGTTATTGTTTGAGGTTATGACATGTCATTTGAGAAGCATGGCAAAATTTGGAAGTTACACAGTGATACAGGCTAGTACTAAAGCCACCCAGACATCTTAGGAAAGAGAGACACAAACCAATTACACAATCATGACTGATGGGTGTTTGTGTTATTCTGAAAGGGAAGTGAATCCATGCTTTGGTGTGACTTACATCGCAGAAGAATGCTAAAAATGCTATTTCAGGACTGAATACTTGGATGTAGGGTTTTCCTCACTGTATACATTTTTATCTTGTACCTACTATGCTGTGAGACAACAGAATTTTGAATAACTTTCTGGGAAATGCACAAAAAACGTGCTATTTTACAGCAAAGAATGTGTGCCATTTACTTCAAGGCAAAAAGGGAACAACCACTTCCAGTACAAAGAGGAGAAAATAAAATGCTGAACTTCAGAAAAGATAAATTATGCAAACACGGTTACTGAGGGAAGAATAAAGATGCAGTACAAATAGAATAGAAATGTACTTTTGAACTCAATCAGTTTAGGCAAATAAGGGGGGGTTGCGAGAAACTGGCTTAGGGGAAACATTTCACAAGTGGCAAAAGAATCTGTGGAGACAAACAAATGAAACTCATTATCAGCTTAAGAGTTGCAGAAAAGCAGTATCTAGGGTGGAGGGAAAGAAACAAAACACCAAAACAGAAAATCAGGGAAGAAAAAAAAATTTAAGATCGGCATTAAAAACAAGCAAAATTGTTTATAGTTTTGAAGTTTGATTAAATTGAGATATATTAGTCAACAGTGGTAGCAGCACACAGACAGCCTTTCAATTTTTCAGAGCATTACAGCACTTTCTCTGATACACAGTAAATTCAGGATTTAGCATAAGTAATACAGATACGATCACTAGAAAGTTTGACACAGCCTTTAGTGATTAGTCTACCCAGAAAGTGACGTAGCATGCTTTTATCACAATTTTTCAACAGTATTATATATACGTTACTATTATATTAATGGCCAAGTAAAACACAGTTACCAATACGGGGTGCCAATGAATGACTTCCTTTTGGCAATTGTAGCTGTAATCTGTGCAGATACTCCAAAATCAGCTATTAAAAAAAAAGTAAAACCAAAACAACGGTTAATAACTGATTTGATGTAAATGTTAATGAACACAAGTTTGGCTCCCCACTGTAAGAGTTCCTTAAATATATTGGAAATATTTAACAAAAAATAAACAACAAAAGCAAATAATGGAAACTTGGTGTATCTCAGGTACCATCAGTCAGCTCCTCTCAGTCAGCTGCCAAATACGCAGGCTGTGCACAAACATGACCCTTATCAACACAAAAAAGAACAGGCTAGCACGGAAGCCCTAACAGTTACATGCAGTGTTTTAATATGATAAAAGACATCATTTAGTATTATCCAAGAGATTCTTTCAGATAATCTTTCAAGGCACATTTCACACTTAAGCACTCTGGATGGTACATTTTATTAAAAATTTATAAAAACCTGTGATTTGGTTTTTACCTCCCCCTTACAACATCAGAAAGTCTTTTACCTCAGTGTTCCAAAACTACTCATTACTCCTCAGACACTAACTGGATGGTGCAGTTAGATACTACCAGCAAGAGAAAAAGAATTCTGATATTCACTAATTCCTTACATGAACTATTACATCATTAAACAAAATACAGAAGACTGCTTCTTTGAGCACATAAAAATCTGTTAATAACACTAAATTGTATTAACTCACCTAATTTTACATGTCCATTATCCGTTAAAAGGATGTTTGCTCCCTTAAAAAAAAAGTAAGCATACTTGAATTAAAACATGCAGATTCCTCCAATACATATTTTAAAAAAAAATATGTAAGATCTTACAGCAAACTAGGGGCCAAAGACAAACCAAGGATTGTGTGTTCAAGAAATCTGCAGCCTTACCAAGGAAATGTTTGTGAAATTAGCAAGTTTCCATTCTGTTATATAAAGAAACTTGGATATACGGGGTTCTCCTTAATTTTCAGTTTAGTACGCTTCAGCCTATGGTACTACAGAGTTCCATTGTACACAAAACCCCTCTCAAAAAGCAGAATATGATTATTTGGCTATGCTGATGAATTCTTACTTTTTTCTATTTACACTGACTGAAAGGAAATAGGAACTCTAAAGGTCAAAGCAGAAGTAATTTGATTTTCTTTTCATATGCAAGAGCTGGCTTTGTCTTGAGAACCATGATAATTATTACTATAGCCTTAAGGACCTGCCTTGATATTCAAGTGTTTAGCAAAACTATTTCCGTACTTATGCAACAAAGATTCTGTTAGTGCTAGGTTTGAAGAGTTCACTGTTGTGTGGCTATATGTACCACTCACTTCAGTTCAATAATCAAAACTAACCTGAAGCAGTAGTTGGTACCATAAAATTACAACATAAAAGGACTGAGAACAAACCTGATTTGAAGTCTGAAACCAGGTACAGTTTGAGTTGAGCGAAGGCTGGAGCTGGCTCAACACACCTCCAAACGTCAGCACTGCCCATAAACTAGATGGAATTGCAGCACAGATCGGCCTCCAAAAAACTATGTTTTTACAGATTATGGCTTTTCACAGAGAAGGAAAAGTCAGGCCTGCAGTAGAATGCAGCTTACTTTGGCAAATGTCACACAAGTATCATTAATGAGCGTTATAAACAGAGCTTGGTAAATAGTGTGACAGTCCGGTTAACATGCTCTTGCTCTTGTTCACCTTTCAAGACTAACAGGATAGATACTCTAAATACATAACTACTGAGGGAAACAACCATAATTCAACAGTCAGGAGATCTGCAGATTAAGATAGTATTTTTCCATGCTCATGTGAACAGCATTTAAAAAAAAAATTCAACGTAAGCACTGTAAGCATTTTTTATCAGCACAGTTCCGTTTAGAAACAGGTTATCTATGCACTGTATCCTTACAAGCATCATTTTGCATTCTATAAAGTATAATGAAAAAAGTTTAATTTTTGTATCCAAAGTAATCTTGCATTCAGAAATTATTTTTATGATTGCTCAAAACCCAAATATCCTTCTGCAGTCAATGAGAACAACTTGGAATCAGGCTGCATTAAGGCATCTACTGTTGAAGCTACCATGGACACTGTATCCCTAGTCTGAAAAAAAAACCAAATCAACCAAACAAAACCAACACCCCACACAACACAAAGGAATACGATAATTTACTGTCAGATTTCCAGGAGAAAGCCTGCCAAGTTTAAGCTGCAGTCTGAGCAAGAGTTTGGAAACGCAAACAGTAACAAGTAAAACTCCAGCAACAAAAAGTTAACAGGAAGCACCAGAAAGAAAGTGTAACAGAATTTAAGAGTCTGAACAAGCCACCTTTGATACAGCTTTGTTGAGATGAAGGTTTGAGTAAGTCAGTGTTACAAGCCTGACTTGCAGTACCCTCTCCAATTTCAGCATGCAAGGGAGGGGACAGAAGTAGTCTCCAAGAACCACACAGAACAGCAGCCACTGCCCTGCATCTGCTCACCAAGAAAAGAAGCCAAAGCAACAGCTCTGCTCGCTAGCTGGTTCAAAGAGAAGGGTATGTCAAGCTTCTTGGAAAGGTGTGGGAAAGACCGAATCTTTCCTTTTGCGCAGGGCACACCCGTCCAGCCATTTGAACACATGTTGCTCCAGACACTCACTGATGCCCAAATTTTACAGTGCTGGTCTAAATAAATAGTATCTTGAGCTCCAATTAAAAGAACAAACTATTTCCATGCATGCATTTTAAAGAAAGATATTTTTTTTTTCTTCCCTTGGGCAGAAAATTTTATTCTAATAGAAAAACCTACATATTTAAAAATATCCCCCAAATTGATACATAACAGTAAAGACCCATCAGAGCTAGTCTATTTGAAAAACACCAAAATTCCCTTCAGTTTTTACTTACCTTGATATCTCTGTGCATTTTTCCTTTACTGTGAAGATAATATAGTCCCTGCATAAAATATTTGGATAATAATTTAGTCCAATATTTTTCATTTTATATACATTTCTTTCTTAATTACCAGACATACTTAGGATCCAATTCAATCACCTAAATGACTCACTGACTGAAGAACATTCTCGTATTTCAGTGTATCCAAACTGCATTTGCAAATTCAATACATGTAGTAGCATAGTATCTAAAACACAGGATAGATGGAAAGAATACCAGTCACCACATCTGTTTCAAGAAAAGCACTCCCTGAGGAAGTTTTCCTCTGGAGGTGGTAACTGTCACCTTTTTAGACCAAGTTAATTACTTTTAAATTGCCTAACAGTCTTCTATTCAGCAGTCAGATTACTGGATACCTAGTGCAGTTATCCCCTATATCATTACACACTTCAGTTAAGTCTAGAAGCATGCTAGCAGGCAGCATTTCAGGTCTAACACAGGAGTTCAGCTCTAATTCACGGATTTCTGCAGAAGCATTAGGCTGTCTTTCTGGGTCGCGATGACAGTGCCAAAACGTTTTAGGACTCAACTTGAGTTAGAAACTTTAAGTTTAAATTCTGGAAGAATTCTATGAAACCAAATCCCTGCGTGACAAATCACAGAGCACGACACTTTTGACACTCCAGGCTTATCTCTCAAATTCTCTTCCGGGGTAAAACAACACATAAACATCTTCCTCACTCTGCAGTCATGAACCTCCATAAAGACTACGTATTCATGTGAGATACCCATGTCAAGACAGAATTATTATTTCTTTTTTTTTTTGCCACCTCATGCAAGAGGTGTTGATTGCAAAAATAAATTAGGATTGTTTTCAATTATCAGCATTTTCATGAATGGTCCTAAATATACTAACAGGAAAAAATGAGGAAACAATTACTTACGTGACTTGGTACTTGAGAGTTTCAAGTGAACGACATAGTACAGATAGACAACAATGCCACTGAAGATACAGTTTTGGGCTATTTTTTTGTCAGTTCATGAAAATCCAAATGCAATGTCGCTGAAGTGCTAATCAGTTACAAAATTCAACTCCTTAAATAAACTAAAAAAAAGAAAAAAACCCCACTCACAGATGTTTTAAGCTGCTTCTCTGGGGGAAATGACTAACAACACCCAGTTGGTCCAATCGTTTTTCAGAGTCATCACTGCAGGCATACATGCAGACCCAAAAATTGGACTCGATTTGCTTTTGGGACAGAGCATCTATCTGACCATTGCAACAACTGGCATCATCTAAAAAGAGTCCCATGTACGCTCCTTGCATTTAAATCTCTGAATGCTATTGGCACAGAAAGCCCAACAACTCACTCATTTTTACCACTGCCTTGGAAGAATTTGAGGTCACCATTTTCAAAACTGAATGCCTCGAGGCAGGTACTTTAAAGGCCATATTTAAAGGACCTATATTTTCAGAATCAGTCTCAACTGATTCCAACCAGAACTGATATTGAGTATTTTTTGAAAACAGACCATTTAATGGGCTTCCAAATATGGAGATCGAACACTAACTTTAGGCATTCAAGTGAAACTCCAGATTCATGGAAACTAATGGCAAAATTGACATGGGGTAAATTACTTTTATGGATGGACAGATGGCCTATACTCTCAGACTTTTTATTAGGAAAAGCAACTGCAGCATTGTAAGCTACAACAAGATATCAGAAACTATATACATTATATTTGGTCAGAGTGTTATAAGCATGTATTTACAGACAACTTCAAAATATTCAAAAATGGGTCCATGGCATAACACTTAGAAAATACATACAAAGCAGCAAGTTTCCTTCCCACAAGCAATTTACATACATTAACCAAGAAATCTTCCCACATGATAAATAATGATATCATAAATTCCATTCTCAACTATTGAAACACACCTCCATACTCTAAGAAGATTATGGATTTGATGGATGGACTATTCAGTGGATAAGGAATTGGCTGGATAGTTGTATACAGAGAGTAGCGGTCAATGGCCCAATGTCCACATGGAGATCAGTGACAAGCGGTGACACTCAAGGGTCCGTATTGGGACCAGTACTGTTTAATATTTTTATCAATGACATAAGACAGTGGGATCGAGTGCACCCTCCGCAAATTTGCAGATGACACCAAGACGAGCGGTGCAGTTGACACACCTCAGGGAAGGGATGCCATTCAGAGGGACCTGGACAAGCTCGAGAAGCAGGCCCATGTGAACCTCAATGAGGTTCAACAAGGCCAAGTGCAAGGTCCTGCACCTGGATCGGGGACCTGGACAAGCTCGAGAAGCAGGCCCATGTGAACCTCAATGAGGTTCAACAAGGCCAAGTGCAAGGTCCTGCACCTGGATCGGAGCAACCCCTGGTATCAGTACAGGCTGGGGGATGAAGGGGTTGAGGGCAGCCCTGCTGAGAAGGACTTGGGGGTATGGGTGGATGAAAAGCTGGACATGAGCCGGCAATATGCACTCGCAGCCCAGAAAGCCAACCATATCCTGGGCTGCATCAGAAGAAGTGTGGCCAGCAAGTCCAGGGAGGTGATTCTGCCCCTCTGCTCCACTCTGGTGAGACCCTACCTGCAGTACTGTGTCCAGCTCTGGAGTCCTCAGCACAGGAAAGGCATGGACCTGTTGGAGCGGGTCCAGAGGAGGGACACGAAAATGATCAGAGGGCTGGAACACCTCTCCTGTGAGGAAAGGCTGAGAGAGTTGGGGTTGTTCAGCCTGGAGGAGAGAAGGCTCCGGGGAGACCTTCTTGCTGCCTTTCAACACTTAAAGGGGGCTCGTAAGAAAGATGGGGACAGACTTTTTAGTAGGGTCGGTAGTGATAGGACAGGGGGTAATGGTTTTAAAGCAAAAAAGGGTACATTCAGACTAGACACAAGGAAGAAATCTTACAATGAGGATAGTGATGCACCGGCCCAGGTTGCCCAGAGAGGTGGTAGATGCCCCATCCCTGGAAACATTCAGGGTCAGGTTGGACGTGGCTCTGAGCAAATTGATCTAGGTGAAGATGTCCCTGCTCATAGCAGGGGGGGGTTGGACTAGATGACCTTTAAAGGCCCCTTCCAACCCAAACCATTCTATGATTCTGTAAGAAAAAAGGGTTTAAAGGTTCAAAACCCAAAACACTCCTAGCTGTCACATAAGACTTCACTGTAAGGAAAAAAAAGCCATGTCATAGAAGTCAGCAAAATGGCATGCAAGGGAGCTAGCTCAGGGGCAGAGCTATCTTGAGAGAGTGTTTTGAGAAAGGCAACAGCTCTAAACTGATGGCATTCAACACATTTGCATTCACTAGAAGCCAAGAACTGTGCTCTCACATGGAAGCAAGACATCCACCAAAAAAAGCTGTTTCTGATTAAGTTTTACTGGTGAACTGAACCTTTAATTTAGGAAAGAAAAATGAAAGCTAGCATGCCCATGAGGAGAGGCTGGTGACCTTAACTTGAACATCCCAAGTACCCAGGCAATTTTTTTTTCTTATTGGCACAGATCAACTATTGGATATGCAAAACTGAGTCCTTAAATTTTCCTTCAAACTTGCAATAACTAATTTATACCACAAATACGGATTAATAAATATGCTGCTTCCCCCCTTTAAAAACAAAAATAGAATTAACAGCAGAAAGATGATGACAGTTTTCTTCAAATGATCCAGGATAATTTGAGGTTATGCAATTATACAAATCAGTGCTAGGCTATAATACAGGACCTCCTCAGAAGTCTGAGAAAAATGCTAAGCCATCCAAACACTGTACTTCCATGGCATCACACGTATTTGTAGCTTTTAATGTAAAAGTATTAAAAGCTAAAAATAAAAGTCAACCACAAGAACCTGTGAACACACTACCTGTAGTGTTTCTCTGCTAACATAGGCAATCTGCTGTTCTGAAAGTGGTCCAGTCACTGAAATAAAAGGGAAAAAAAAAAAAAAATTCTCAAAATCAGGTAAGGTACTGCCCATTCCAAACCCATACCTCAATCACTTCCATTCACACTGATAGGATCTTACACTAGAAGCCTCAAAGTAAATGTGTTTAGACTTTCCCCCCAGACTGAGCATCCCAAAGACCAACAAACATTTTTTTAAACTCAAAGATGTCTCGTCCCATTGGAATGGAAACTACTAACTCCTTCCACATATAAATCTCAAAGTAATTAAGAGGAAAAAGAAACAGAAGCAGTGATTTAAGCACAACTCTTTCCCCTGCACAAACCCATTGTGTCCTTTTACGCAGGGCTGGACTTCCAGCCCAATGACTCAGAGCTGCAGCAAACTCTGCTCAGTCCCCATTGAGCCCTAGGAAGTTCCTTCTATCCTCTGCGATCTACTCTCTCCTTCCGTCCTTCCCACTGCCACACAACCTGCTCTCTCTTGCCTGTAGCCATGTGACCTGCTCTCTGCAGCTTCTCAAGCCTTTTCTGCATGAGCTACCAGCACTGTTGCTCCTCCTGGGCCTGCCACACCATGCACCTTCTCAAACTCCTTCTGAGCAGTCTCAGCAGCTTCCTGCAGGGTCACACTTCACTCAAATCTCTTAAAGGAAAACAATTAAATTCTTAACAAATACATAAACCAAACACTGAACAGCAAGCAATGAATGGCCTGTGACTTGTCCCCAGTCACTGGACTTTGATCCTGAAATTAAAGGGTTTTAAGACCAGGAAATGCAGTCCTCACTGCAAGCTTCTCAGGTTTTGCAGAGAAAACAAACAGAAAAGTTGGATGGGGTTTCTCAAAGGAAACTGAAGGAGTAGGGAGTTAAAAATGAAACAAGATTTAAGCACCTAACTGCTCAGCTTCTACAAAACCCACAACCATAACATAAATTAGTATCATGCAACATATAGCTTCAAAACAGGTCTAGATCCATCTTCCCTTTTCTGAAAGAAAAGCTCCAAACCCACATAAAACTAAATATATTAGCAGCCAGAGTACGTATTTCTAGGCACGTATGTTTATTTTGAGAAATTTAATTCTGATTAATTTAACATTACAGATGCCTATAGTTCAACTGGAATAAGTCTTTTTGGAATGTAATTAAAATCAGAAAAGAACCTTCCACTGTAACTACCAGCAGAGAAGCCAAAAATCAGCTGCAACAGGAAACCACTCCTGTACGACATCTGTTCAGGCATTTATATGGCATGAGCTCATTTCCTACTCTACAGGTGTTCCACATAACAAAACCTATCAGACACAATGCTTTTATCAACACTAGCAAAGACATAAGGGATCAACAAGGCCATACTCAAATGACTATGTCATGAGCATGGTGCGAACTTGTGAATTGGTGCCTTGTTTTAATTGCAGCCAAGTTAAACATTAAAAGGTATACAAGCTGTTTACGCACAAGAGAAGGATGTGAAGATCCCAACATGTACAATCTTCACAATTTAGAATATGGACGGATTTCCTGTCTGAAAAACATCACCTGAGAACCACAGAGCCGTTACTCACTTATGGCATACTCCCTTCCTAAGCAAGTCTTAATTCCAGGGCAATAAAATCCCTCAAAACTGATTTTCTCTCTTGAAAACCAGCAATCAGTTGACCGATCCTCTCTTAACGCAATAGATTCACACACGCCCCTTGTTTCTTTGATCACTCATTGCACCTAAGCCTAAAGCAAATATATAGGCCACCTTTGCTTTTCACATGCCATGCATCCAGCATCTAAAAATACCCACAAAACACACCTCTCATGGCACTACTGCTACAGAAACATACAAAAGATCGCTGTTTACAAAGGACAAGAGCATCCACACTAATCAATCCACTTACCTAGCTATCTGTAGGCAGTGGTATAGATTATACCAGAGTAAAGTTCAAAAGCTCAAAACCAAAATGGCTATGAAGTAAGACATCCCATCAGAATTTTTTTTTTTTTTTTTTAATTTTTACAATACAATATTGTCTAATCTTACAGCCTTTGAGAAGCAGTGGTGGGTATATGAGATACTGAAGGAAGGAAATAACTTCTGCTGCTCAAAAAAAAATCCCCACTATAGCTGATTTCGTTTAAAAAACCCCAAACCCAACCCCAACCAATTATGTAAATACATAAGCTAAAATTGACCTTCAATGGATTATTATGTATACGAAATTCAGGATTCCTCCTCTCTGATTCCAAAACACTGTAATCATCTCCATTTTTGAAAATAAGCTTTACTTAGATTTTAAGGAATCGTGACATACAGTCCTGACATACCATGATAAATATCCTGTAGAGAGCCACCTCCACAAAACTCCATGCAAATCCATAGCTTGTCTCGTCTAAAAAGTGAACAAAACCATTCATTAGCTGTCAGATTTGAAAACAGCATCTATAAAAGCTATATAAGCCAGAGGACCCAAACATTATAAAGCACAACACAACAAGCTCCGTATTATGAAAAGTACAAGTCAAATAATGAATATGATTTAATCTTTGTGATACTTCACTGTCAAAATACTAACTAATGAAATACCCCAAATATTCCAGGGTTTATTGGAGCAACAGAAACAGTATTAGTGAAATGTTCACACTGATATTTTTTGAATTTTTACTGAGAGTAGAGAGAAAACAAATGTGTGTTCTTATTTCATCCTCATTTTCACTTCTCCACTTTTTTCAGAGCAGAGGAATTAACACCAAAAAAAAAAAACCCAAAAAACCCAAAAAACCAAAAAGCCCTAGGGATATCTCTCAGCTCAATTTCTTCTACAACAAATAGAGTGAAACTCTAGCACTTGAGTCAAAGCAAGGCAGAGTGGAGCCCACGCTGTGGGTAAGTGCCTTCTCAGATGAAGTCTTTTCCCTCAAAAATGCCTATACATATTTTTGGTGGCAGCACTCAGAACGAAGTTCTTTAGGTTCCTCTTACCGAGGGGAATCAATTCAGTTTGACTTGCTATACCTCCATAAAAGGTGCTTTCCAAGAATAGACAATGGGCTGAAGGATTCAAAGGTATCTTCTATTACAGACACTAAATTCTATTTTCACTTAGTAATTTTCACTGATAAGACAGATGTATTGCATGTGGCCGCAGAAAGGCATTTTGGAGAGCAGAAAATCTGGGACTTGCCTAGTCATTCCTGGCCATCAAAACACACAGGACAGAAAAATCACATACAACCACCTTTGGGCAGAGTGGGACACAGGACAACCAAAGGGAAGACTGGTGATTGTTCTGCAGCTTGCCCATGACCCCTGGTCTTGGGTTTCTTGCATTCATAAGGCTCTGTTAGAATAGCTGAGACACTCCTGTGGGCCATGCCAACATTCATGGAAATGTTTTGCAAGGCAACGCTGTAAATGCTGAGCTTATCCCCTGAGCTGCAAACTGCAAGTATTTCTCACCAGCAGGTAACAGCTAGTACAGCTGCTGTTCCAAGGAAGAACTGTCTTTCTTGGATCTCTTCCCCTTTTATGTCCATAGTCCACATGGTCCTCAAAGCTACACCCCACCTGCTTCTTCTCGTGGTGGGAAAGGTATTGTTCAGGCATTACAGGGGTTTGCAGCAATAGAAGTCCCTGGCTGTTAACTCCATACACTTCTAGGGGTTAATTAAAGCACTGCTTGAAATAATATGAAGGCTTTCCACTGAAAGAACTGATCAGACACAGAAGCAATGTGAGTGCCTGTGAAAGAAAACAGAATTAGCAATGGCAACAGGGGAACATGAGTGAGAAAGAAGCACTGAAGAGACAGACGTCTGCAAGCCCCTTGTTTATTCCCCACAATAATGCAGGACTCAGACAGGGACACTTTTGGGGGCACTGGGCTCATGAAAGCCACTCTTTCCCATGTGGCTGCATCCTGTTTGATGCCAAGAGCAGCAGCAGCGTGGAAGTGGGAAAAAGCGAGGACAACCCCAGCAGCCTTAGGACAGCAGCAGAGCACTCGCAAAGTAAGAGACATGAAGTAGATAAGCGTTGTAAATTCACACCTTCACTTAGTGGGCATTAACTTCCCAGTGTGGAAAAGCCCTACAGAAAAGGAAAAAACCATAAGAGGACCAAAAGAGGAGATCGCATTTCTAATTCACTATCTAGCCTTTTATTACTGTGCCCAAATGCTTTGACACAGACGAAGATCCATGTAATCAACAGTAACAGTGTACACAATTGTCCATGTCTGCAGAGCGTATGGCAAGCACAGCAAACAAAACAGGATCAACAGTACCATTTAGCATCTGCAACTTATACCCAGGCTAACAGCAAGGCAGAAATTTGACTGCCTGAAAAGTCCATACATAAACAGAAGAAAAGCACAGACAACAGTATGCCAATAAGTGCCAAGTATAGGATGATAGTATTTTCCTTACTGTTCTTAGCAGTGAAAAATACTTGGAAAATAAAAGGTCAGACAATGAGAGGCCTCAAAGATAGCCATTCGATTGGCCAGACAAAAGAGAAACACTACACCAAAGAAAGGGGAAGGGACCAAACAAGAGCACAAGAAAAGTGCCAAAATATATATTTGCCAAAATTTCATTCTGTGTCTACAAAAGGTATATTTTGATACCCTGAGACAAGAGGAAAACTGTTTTAAAAAAACAAGAAAAAGCACCCCCAGCCTGAATACAGCATCATGAGAAGAGGCACCATTTCAATCATAACATTTTAAAGAAAGTTGAATGCAACAATATTTGCTTACAGTCTGTTTTCACATGAAATCTTAAAGTCATCAGAAACAGCTTTTTATTAGTTATACTAAGCAATCTGTTCCCACTATGACTAGTTAAAAGAAGCAGCTGGAAGACAACTGGGATACATTTGTCAGTGCTTCTACAATGCAAATAATCTCACCTCCAGAAACAAACACAAATGGAACCTTCACATTTTGGTCAGAAGTTCATATGTTAGAAAAACAGCTTGGGGTAACTTCAACAACACTGCAGAGCCCCAGCCCTCCGCTCTGCAACTCCTCACTTCTTTCTTCTAAATTTGTCTTCTGAAAAGGTTTATAACAATGACTTTCAGGTTTGCACAGCACACCAGACTTAACGTCACACATCAAGGAAAACGTCAACAACTTCCTTCCCAGTACTGCAGACAGGTACAAATAAAGTCATCACGTGCAGTGGAGGACATCTTAACATACAAAAAGGTGCTCTCTTCCCAAACAGAGGCAGGCTTTGAGGTTGGCAGGAAGACTAAGGAGGTGCAATAGAAGGGTGGGACACTACGTGGTCCCAGACACACAACTTTCAGTATATGCAACATCTATGTAAGAAGCTTAACCACCATAACACAGAGTTTCCAAATACTGCCTTTAGGAGATCACAAGATCCCTTGCCAACTTTACCACCTGACAATCTGTAATCAGCTGTCAAACAGACTAGTAACTCCACAGTTCTCAAAAAAAATTTTAACATGACTTTGAGGTAGCAGTATTAAGAATTGACTGTTCATGCACAAGAAAAAGCCTGCCAGTACTGCAAAGAATGGAATTAATGCACAGTTTAGGTTAACTTTCAAATTAACTGTAAACATTCAAAACTGAAGTGCAGACAATCCTAGTTTGGAATACCAAGTCCCTACATGTACACACGCTCTACCTGTACACACACCTGCACAAACTTGTGCATAATGCAGCTCAGAGACCAGCTCAGCATTAAAAAAAAAAAGCATTCAGGCTGCCAAGACAAGCACCTTTCAAGATATGGGATGCCAGAACAGCATGGCTCGTTGATTTTATCTTCAGGCTTTGATCCCTTCCTGAACACGTATACACGACAATGCAAGCAGTACACAATCACACACTCCCAGCCTCACCCAGTGTAGCATGCAGATGGTGTTCCATCTAATGGGCTAGTCAATGGCTTGCCTTCCTCTTTGTTCTCATACTTTCACAGTGCATTTCCACTTAATCTTATTCTGAAAATACATTTGCTCTTGGAAACTTCGTTCATGCTCCACACTAAACTATGTCTGTGAAGTACTAATATGACCAGCTTTTCCACTACAGACCTTTGAAATGACTATAAAGCAAACATAATTCAAAACACAGATTCCATTGACTTGAATCACATCTGTCGGCATGCAATACTTTCATCAGACAAAAGCTAACAAGACACTCAAACTGAGAAAGATGCAATGAACACCACCAGTGATAAAACATGGTTTCATTGAGGGTCCAGGGCTACTCAGGACACTGAATGGCAGGGAGAAGAAACTCCTCAGGACAGCATTAGTCAGCTGAGCTTCTGCGTGAGACCTCTCCTTCTCCTCTAGCATTTATTGCCAGGACTTTTTCTCTTCCCCAACACCGCCTTCAAGTTCTGGCACACTCAACTTGTCCAATTTCAGTTTGCTCCAACTACACAGACATTCAGCATCAGCACCACAAAGCGCTCCACCACACTTGCCATTTCAGTGTCCTGTCCCAGCTCACCCCAGAACAAAACAAGGTACAAGCGAGTCAGGGAGCACATGGTAGCTCTTCTGTAGCACTGCAAACATGCACCAAACCAGATGCTGCTGGCTAGAAAAGAAACAGTAACTGGGATTTCCTAAGCTCTAGTTGATCTAGAATGAAAGTAAGAGAAATGCAGTGTTCCAGAAGATAACTTGGTCAAACTGGAAAGGATTTTTAAAAGGAAAATAAGCCCTCCAAATACAAGAACCAAATTCTGTCATATATTCCTTCTCCCAAAGATGGTAATTTTTTGTTGAAAGCCTTTCATGTACCAAGATTTTTTTCATGTGAAAATACCATCCATATCTTCCCACCCCCAATCCAAAAGTACTTGGTCTATATTGCTGAAAAGCTTTTGGCTGCAGCAGATAGCCATTATGGAAAATTTCAGCTGGAGTTGCTGATGTCTAGTACGTGTATGAGTAACTCAACTTGGCATCTTCCCACTATGAATAGGGTCTAGCAAACTTCACAACACGCAGAGCTACCATGTCCCACCTATATTGTCCCCAGGCAGACAGAAGATACTTGAATACCTGAAAGGAACAAGAAGCCTCTGCCATAAAGAGCATCATGGCTTTTCAGAGCCTTTTAAAAGCTTTTTATTACATGGCATGATATGCCTAAAATTATGATGTTGGGTTCACAAAAATCCAGCATTAAAAGGTCTAGTCCTTGAATATCAAGCAATTGCTATATCTAGCATAAAGCATTTGTCAGGATGTATTAAAAGGAATTATAATAGCAAATGTTATTAGAAACTAGCCATCAATTTTCTCAGAACTGAGACTTTGTATGGAGTACAAGTTCACTGTACTTGTAACAAGTAAGCATAATACCCTGCAAAAGGAATTACACGAAAGAGTAATTTACATATTTACATATACTACATTAAGTGTCCTAAACAACTCTGAAGCTCAAGAGAAAAAAGCAAAGATAAAAGGGCTAAAATATCAACCATTTTTAGATTTCAAAACAAACCTAAAATACAAATCACCAGTGGGCTTTTTAAAGGCTACATTGTCCTTAAAGCTTAACATAGCATTACTACTGTTAAGCAAGGAAAAAAAAAATTTTTCCTCCTTATTTCCCCATAAGATTCAATTTTGAGTTCTCAGACAATTTAACATGTCAACACCAGTTAAGTCAGAAAGTTTCTGAGAACACTATCTGTATTATGCAATATTTATACTTCACAAAGTTTTGCAAATTTAAGAGACATTTTACTGAAACAGATTTTAAAGATACTATATACACAGACTCTTTCTTCATACTTGTCATACTCCTGCTTAACTTTCCATTTACATATTAAATTCAAAGCTTGTAAGTGACAACTCATTTCCAAGGAAACTTGACTACATGGTCACTGAAAGTTTTTGCTAAGAAAACATTATTTATAGAGAGACACTGTATTAAACAGAACAGACTTTAAGGTAAATGAAGAAAAATAACATACAAGTGGATAATACATATTTGGTAATTTAAGTTTTGCCTAAGTCACCTTATAGACCTGTCCTTTACAAGGAGATAGAGAGGCATTTTTAAGTGAGCAAAAGAAACAAACTGTACCTGAGATAGCTGCCAAAATAAGCAACAATGTTTGGATGTTTACAGTCTTTCATCATAATGATTTCCTGCTGCACAACAGCAAAATCTTCTCCTGAAAAGCATAAAAATGAATATTTTCATTGGCCTGGCTCATACTCACATCTCAACTAGACTTCCAGCACGTGTTTATAAAATAAACATTTTGAGTAATTAAAACTAATTAGGTGCCAGTTTCACAGACATATAAAGCAGATGTAAATATTTATTAGCAAGGGCCTAAGAATATAGTTACTTATTGCTAAGAAGTTTCATTCTGTGCCAGATGGACCTCACATCTGCTATCTGACAGCTCTTATGATATTGGCCATAGCTCTTTCTAAAGTCTTTATCTTCCCGGAGACCCTGCTGTGTCCATCTGCATATGTCCTGCCAATATCCCAGGTTCTTAAAAACATGACAAAACTTTGCTATTTTTGGCCACATAACCAACACCCATTAGATCATCTTCCTGAGAAAAAACATTCAATAGTACACTACTGCTGCAACTTTTCAGTAAACTCGGTAAGCACATAAATTTATGGACTGTGCCTAACGTATGTCCACATAAAACACTAACATAGATGCGGCATTTATCTGAGTCTTACCATTTGGTACCTCGGTTGTCCCTGTCTTTCTACAAAACATTCTTACCAGATGTGTACACTGAGAAAATCATGTATGCAATTGAAAACCCAACGGAAACATTTCTGTTTTGGGGCTGTTGTGCAGGAGATTTGTGGGTAAGTTAAAGAGGGAATGCAAGAAAGATACCAAATGTAAGAGAATGCCAGTAAAAGATATTTGACAGCCTTTTTAATTTTTTTTTATTTTTTTATTTTTTTTTTTTTCCAGAAATACATGTCAAACGCTCTTTTGCCGTTCAGTATCTTACACTGGGGGTCCTCTGAAATTTCCTAAGTCATAAGGGCAAATTATAGCTAGTCTGGTATATTATTTCTAAAGTTCTTCTGAAGTTCGTTTAGTTACTATACGCGGTTCACAAAAACCAACTCATTCTTACTAACCTCAAGGACTTCATAGGTGAAACAAGCCCTGAAGGCCTAAAATAACCATTTAACTTCATGACTAACTTAAGAGACTCTTTAAGCAAGTTGAAAAAACAGGAAAATTCAAAGTATGTCAAAATTCTCCTTTTAGTGTACTGCTGTAGCACACTTCAGCATAACCCAAAAGAGCTTTTAAGCCAGAAGCCAAAGCTATTGTCTAAGAAGTTGAATATAGACGCTAAGCTCATATTTATCAATTGCTGCAACTCAAAATCACTTCTCAAATATGGCTGTTAATAAATTTCAAATGTAACAACAAATTCCACCAGAACTGGCCAAGCTGTTACCTAAGAAAATGTTTTAAGTTTCTCCCAATACATCAACGTACTGGTGACCTATCCATTTGGTTCTTTTTAACCAGAAATCCAATATTCACGTGTATTTTATTTAACTGATAGCAAATTTCAAACCACAAGCTGCAAGTTAACATCACAACAGACTGTCTACTATCCATGGTGTATTGCTGATGGCTTGCTGTAACCTGGCTAGACCTTTAAACATACAAACCCTGAAACGCAAACAAGAAATTATTTTCATATATGGACAAGTATCTCCATGAAAGGACACAATTCCTCCAGTACTTCACCAGTGTTTTCATTGCATCCAAAATAGTTAAGTAACACGAGCTTTAGAGTAAGTGCCTAAACATTATTAACCATTATTCTTCACACTGTCACCAATTCTGCAAAACTCGCAAAGAAAGCCAGTGCCACGGTTCTGGAACTCGGACACGGCCCGTCTGAAGCTGCGTCAAGCCTCTACAGCAACTGGAATTGACAACTACAGAGAAAAAACTGAGCTTGCTGAGCAAACACAGGGTAGCTAAAGCGCATTCTCTGTACACCACTCAGGTATTCAAAGGCTGCCAAAAATATCTGATTTAACTGCAAGATGCCAGCTGTTATCCCCATCAGCACAGCATGAAGGCAAGTTACCCCAGCTGCAGTGCTTCCCATCTCAGATCACACACACAGCACGATTCTCCAAGTCCTGCTCAGCACAACCCATACAACACACTCTTCAACCAAGTCACTTCATACTTTTGAAAGTGGTAGTCAGCTAAGTAAGAAGTTGTTTTGTTTTAAAGGTTGACATCATCTGAGTCTGCTGAGTCCTATGGTTCTTTCCACACTACACAAGTCTCCTTCCCTGTTTTATCTTTGCCATTCCTGAGAGAGACACAGCACAGCTGCTTGGCTTAGCTCGACTGGTAACCCACATCACGCACAGCCAAGTACTCCAGCAATGGGAACTGTCATAAAAAGCCAAAGCAGCAGAACTAGACAACATAATCTGAGACCACGACTTTCAGTGTGAATAAAAGAAGTGTGATGAGCACACACTTTTGGAACTACATAGTAACATACTGTCCTAAATTTTTAAATGTGCATGCATTATATAAGCACAGCATTTCTAATCGCTTCCAAAACTGTAAGAGGAAAAAAAGAAAGAAGCTAGTAACTTCTTTCTCTTCTTGCCCGCATAGACCTTAAGGATCAAACCAGGCAGTAGTTAAAATATTACACACCACCCCCACAACATTAAACCTTGAAATGGAACACCAACTGTTACAAGTTAATCAAAAAGTCTGGACATTTTACTTCCCAGATTACCACACTCTTGTTCAACAAGCCTAACCATATTAATAAAAGAGCATTTGCAGGCTGATAACCGATCTGTAAGGCGTATGTACTTTGTGAAATCAGAACATAACTACAGTTCAAGCATAAATCTAGCATACAATGAAGTCCTAATCAAAGTCTCCAAGAGAATTTCAGGAAATGCACTCAATTTGTAGATACCAGCGTTCACCTGTTTCACCCTTCCTTCTTTGTCTTTCTCCCTCTATGCTTTTTCCAGGTGAGGAGTTCTCTGCCTTGCTGTCTTCCTCATTCCTTTTGTACTATACAGGGGTTTTTATCACATGGGTTGAAAACATAGTACTTAGGACAAAACCCACAACTCTCACTGAAATTTCAGTCAGCTTTCCTTTAACTGTTTTCCAGTTATGTTTTTTTCCTCTCCCATCATGCTTGTCATTCTTGTTATTTCCTAGAAGAGTGTATTTTGTCCTACACTAAACAGCAACAATTATCCCTTCTTTCAATGAGCGGACTCAAATGATTTTTGCATAATTGTATCTTAAGCATGAAAATATTTAGTTTCTGTAGCCTATTCCAGTTAAGAAACACTTACCTGGTTCTAGTTTTATTACTTTAATTGCTGCTAGCTCACCAGTGTTGACATTTCGAGCCTATGAACAACAAAAAAAAGAAAAATATTTAGAGCAGAACACAGCAACTAGCTCTACACTCTCAACTCAATGTTCTCTGACAACACGGAGTAAAACAACAACTGAGATACACAAAGTTCTTAAACAGTGAAACTACTTGTTGGGGCTTGGGGGTTTTTTTTAAGCAAAAACAGCCTCAGGAGGAGCCAATAAATATACAAGATGTTTTAATTTATGTTTCCTGCAAGGTTATAATTTTTTTTTCCAAATACACCATGCATTTATTTTTTATTGGGCTTAGAGCATATAGTTTCATTAGATAAGCATCATTATTGAGTTCCATTATATCCAAAACACTCAAACCACTTATTTAAAATAATCCACATCTGTGCTTACTGACAGTGAACCAAACTCACATGCTCTTCTCCAGTACGCGTTTGTAGGAAGAACTCTTCCAACAAAACTTCTCATCCTGGATTTATTTTCTAGCAATAAAGCAAGCTATCTCAAAAAAATATCCCACTAGGCAGCTAATTTGTACTGTGATCTGAAGCTTTAAGTATGTTCAGGAAACTCTACGCTGCCACACAACAGTCCTAAATTATGCAAGTCCTTGACCATGCTGTACTTCCATATTAAAATCCATAAACAAACCGACCACTGAGATATAGACTGCAATGCAGTTAACAGCATACACAGATCTCACAGCAGACAAGCAGGGCCCAGGAAGCATAGAGGGCCGTACCCTGCAGCGTATGTGACTGCTTCCAAGACTCCCACAAGAGCGATGCAAAGCTTCCTGCTCATTTCACTATGTGCCCCTTGGTCCTTACTCTCCGCCACCGACAGCATCCTCCCCTTGCTGCAAGGGTGTGAAAAAAACACAAGCCAGTAAACAAAAGAGTTTGAAAGCATTCCCCTCATATACACAGCAGCTCTGTGGCCAACTTCAGCAGCAGCTACTCAGCAACTTAACTGCATTTTGTACAGGGCTCTGTCATGCAAAGTCTACATTCTACAGAGCAACCAAGGAAGCTAAATTTTTATAAAGCCATTAAGAAGCAACACAAATTATGGTAATAATGACTTCTCTTCTAGAACTGTTGCATTTGACTACTAACTGAAAACTGAGGAGCCATTTGCCCAGTGCTTTCAGGATACCTCAGTGGCCCCGCACCCAGCTATGGATGGGGAGAGGGCAGCAAAGCTGCTCCCCAGCATCAAAGCAGTAGTTCCTGAAGGATGCTCAGCTACAGCTTCTCCTCTCCCCAGGGGAGTCTTGGTACCCGGAGCTGCACTGTGCTGGACCACCACTGCACTGAATGCCATGCCCACTCTACCCCCTACACAGGGCACAGAAGGCAAGACCAGTCCTGCTTTTGCTTTTTCACCCCGTCCATTTTCAAATCAAAAAAGGCCAGAATCACAGAATTCAATGATGCAGATAGGTTCCACAACCAGCTCTTAAGTTGCTATGTTAAGAATCAATACCTTAGAGTATTTGGTGAGTCTCCTGGCCAGTCAATAAAATTTGTGAGGCCTAGAGCTCCTAAAGTGACTTAAATGAGACCATTAGCTACAGTAGCCCAGGTGCTGGTTGTGGAACCACAAGTGGAAGGAAAAAAACCCTAAGACTATGGTTCCACAACCAGCACCTGGGCTACTGTAGCTAATGGTCTCATTTAAGTCACTTTAGGAGCTCTAGGCCTCACAAATTTTATTGACTGGCCAGGAGACTCACCAAATACTCTAAGGTATTGATTCTTAACATAGCAACTTAAGAGCTGGTTGTGGAACCTATCTGCATCATTGAATTCTGTGATTCTGGCCTTTTAGATAGGTTCCACAACCAGCTCTTAAGTTGCTATGTTAAGAATCAATACCTTAGAGTATTTGGTGAGTCTCCTGGCCAGTCAATAAAATTTGTGAGGCCTAGAGCTCCTAAAGTGACTTAAATGAGACCATTAGCTACAGTAGCCCAGGTGCTGGTTGTGGAACCACAAGTGGAAGGAAAAAAACCCTAAGACTATAAAAAATAGTCAGCAATAGTCTGGAAATAAATGCAGCGTATATTTCTGTGTTTAGAGATCTACCCAGGTCATTCCTAGTACAGCCGATCTCAAACCTCTCACTATTCCTTGGTGTGGCAATGCTCTTCTGCAACGCTGGGAGGGAATACTGGCATGTGCAAATCATTTGCTAGGCCAATGGTTATGAATAGATCCTGAGACCAGTGGAAATCCTATAAAAGTAAAGGAGTAGTCAAAACTTGATAGACTGTGAGAAAAACAGTTAAAAAAATAAATTTTCTATGGCAGCCTTCCCTTTAAGTCATTATTTGCTCACCCCACCAATGGCAGCAGTGTCTCCACTCATCACTGTATGGTAGAAAAAAGACACTAAAAACATTAATAGCAAGAATAGGAGTTCCCTTTATCTGTCCCAGAGAATGAAGGCAACACATGAGAAAGTGGCACCACTGAAGCATGAGCTAGGATTTTTATTCTTTATTTCTTTTTCCAACACATTCTTTTCATAGCGAGAAACAAACACAGAGGCAAGATGTTCATGAATCAAAGGTCAGCATTTTTTAACTTCCAAGATTAACAAGAAAAATTACTGAAGCTTTAACAAAGACCTGAGACTATCAGGGAGTCTTGTTTATACTTAAAGACCTGTTTTGGGGCAACTTGGGCTACTAAGGTAATCAATGAGATACAACTGTAGTGGACACAATTGAGGACATCCTGAAGTTATGCATCCTGCCTGCTGCTGGGACGTGCAAGCCAAGCTGGAAAAATTTCACAGGCTTCAGGGACACTGCTAGTCTAACAAAAAACATTTGGTTTTCTTTTCTTTATTTTTCACAATACTGTGTCCAGCTGCCAGGAATTTGTTTCTCTGACTATGGCTCCATAGGTCACTACGCTCTGCACAGTGCTATGGCTACTAAAGCAAGATAGAAGGCGGGTAGGGGCTAGTGACAATTTTGGAACAAATCTGATTAAAACATATGAGGATACTCATCACAAAGTCTTATGTGATGGTGACGCCAAAAAACATCAATAGTAGACAGACAAATCTATAGATACATCTGGAGCAGGACGTGCAAAAACCCAGCCAAAGGAATAAAGTCCAAGCAGCAGGCAGCCTTGCCAAACCTGCGCTCTCCACATCTCATGGCTGATTCAGCCCCCTCCCATCACAAAGGGATTTCTTCTTCAATGTCATGTTCTCAAAAGAACTGTTCAAAATCGTGGGCAGGAAAGAACATTGTGTCTTTTCACCTTCAGCTTAGGCACTGCTTCCTTTCTTCAACACCAGCAGTGGTAGGACTCTTTGGCCAGCTGGTCATTCTCTGGACAAGTATCTGCCTGGGCTCATGAAAGCCAGAAAGGAGGAACAAAACCTGATTTAATGCAGGTCACCAATGCCTTCAGGAACAGCAGGCTACCAACTGCTTAAGGGCATAAATTGTTACTTAAGAACACGACTTGAAGTTGATTATCTGAATAAGTTATCACTTTGCATCCTATTCCATTTGGGTTATTAGCATCGAAGGTGGTGTAAGAATATGAATTGCCTTTGTTAATCTGAGTATATAAAAAAAGAGATTATTCTGATTGTAGTGACACGAGGGTTCCTTGCAAGCGATGAAGATTAGGTACCCCGACAGGTTTTACAAGATCTCAAACATCTCTGAAATCATCAGTTAGAAACAATTCCTTGCCTAAGCTCACATGAATGAGAGACTGAGAAAGACTGAAGTACCATATGCTTTTCAACACGTGTTGGAGCTGGCTCTAACTCTTAATTTGAGGGTGCTTGCATGCATACCATATAATAGCTCAGTATGTTGAGGATACTGCCTTATGCTTTCATTTAGCATAATCACACCAAAGTTGCCAATTACTTATGGGTTTTTAGAGTGGAGCATCAATAAAGAATAGCTGGCTGCAGAACAATTTCAAATGAGTATTTTTGAGTCGGCAAACGCAACCGAAAATTTCAGAGGCTCATGTAAAAAAAAAAAACCCACACTTTGATTTTTTTTGTTTCCACTTGCATCTCAAGTGCTGGAACTCCCAGCCTTTGTGATGAGGTTAACAGCAATAGCTAAGAGTTCTTTCTCCCATCCCTGCTTCCACGATCAGGAGCCTGCAACTAATTCCTTCAAATGCAGATTGCACTATGTCAATGGGAATGCATTACACAGGTCTTCCAGAAGCAATGATCAGCCTACAATGCCTGCATTTACACACAATCACTTTACTAAATGTACACAGCATTTATACAATGTCTGTTCTGGAAAAAGCATATAAAGATCCTCACTCTACCAGCAGCTAAAACAACAATACTTTTCCAGAGATCTAGATGGCCATATCTGGGGAGGAGTTAAAAAAAAAAAAAAAAAATCCACCAACCACTAAGTCAAGCTGGAGAAGCACTACCTAATTAAACAGGAAATAATTACTAGTGCCTCTGTGACAACAGCAGAATATCAGATCAAAATGTTATACAAAAAACTGCCACCCACTAGAAGTAAAAGCTAGAAAAATCCAGGTTTTGCTGTTATTGTGTTATACAAAAATTCCTTAACCAAAATGACTCAGAACTGGAAAGATCTTATTATTCTGAAATACAGAAGGGAAGAGCAATGCAGCAGGGCTCTACTTGGATGGTCTCTATTTGGGAAAGATCAGCCAAGCAAAAGACATGCATGGTGTGTGTCTGTAAAGAAAAGGAGGGGAAAGAAGAAAAGGAGGAGGAAGGCTAGTATTTAGCACTGCCCCTAATATATGCCGCAACAGTAGAATCATAAGGAGAATTCTGTGCAGCTGAACCAGGATAGACATAAGATCCAAGGACGTAAATCTCTTGCCAAGTTTATATTTGTCCTTCAAATGATAACTGGTAATATAAAGCGTATAATGCTGCAACAAAAACCAGGCCAAAAAGCGAAGTCTAAGACAGTAACAACAGGTGCTTCTGTTTTTGACTACTTCCTACGTGAATTGTTG